TACTATAAGAGTGTCGTGAATCTAGAACCAAATACAATAAGAGATATTTTAAAACAGTTCCGATAAACGCTTGTGTACTCTTACTAGGAAAACGTCTCRTTATAGTCTGTAAATCGCATTTAGGCAGGTATTTATTATTGGGAGTGAAGGTGAACTTCGCTTTCTAACTCACTGAATCGGATGGTTGAGTAAATAAAATTGTCAAATTTGTTCATCTACTATTGTTGGAARGGAACTTTGAATTTGGTGACACAATTAAATATAATTCTTATATTCTTTGTTTTTGGGAGTTTAARCCATCATAAGTTTTGTTCAAAAACAGGACGATTTATAGAGTTATACTAATCAGGGACGTCCCTGTACTAATAAATCAACACTCCCTAGCAGAAGCCATACGTTTGCTTGGATTCACACACGAAAGGTGTCCAGATAAATACCAACAAATTTGAGTCACTCCATCAAGAGAAAGACCAATTAWACCTTACCTAAACTTGACGTAGACACCGCGTCATCACCATCAATCGAAGCATCAGATGTTTGTCGGGTAAGATCTGCTGGAGTAAATTTGAATCCTGACGAACTGCTTCCAGTCGCGTTCGGCTGTGGCTTCCCAACYTTCTTAGGTTTCCTTCCCTTCGAGACATTGATATTACGAACGGTTTGTAGGACGCGTGCGAGGTTTTGTCTGAAAAATCAAGAAAAAAACACAAATGTTACCTTTAGAAATATCAATAATACCCCCACACACTTCCTGGTGTAGCTGTAAACAGCGCTATAAACCAAAACAAAGAGTATCGACGACTTTAAATCTCAATCTACCTCGAAATTCCTTAGTTTCGTTTAGCTGCATCAGATGCTCTGTGGCGAAACAAGAGAGATGACTAACAACAACTAACCTTTTTTCCTGTATGTCAGCTAAATCTCTTTTTACACTTTGCTCTATTTCATGTGCCAGTGAATCTCTAGGCTAAAGATGGCAAAAAATATGACTACATCTATAATATGTTCATATGAATAAGAATATAGAGAAAACGAAAGAAAGCAAATACACTGCAGATAGGAAAAAGAAACAAAATTACTAAACAAAACAAAAGAGAAGCAAAAAACGTAAAAATAAACAACAAACAACAAACAAAAACAAACGGAACAGCTAAACAAATAGAAAGGAAACAATTAAAAAGTCACCAAGATTTTTACCATGCTTGATGGCGTGGAATGTTTAGGACGTGGAGTTCTGCAAAACAARACACAAAGCAAGCCAGTCAGTACACATTTCTTCACGAAAATTCAGTGTTATGCAATAATATGTAATCTTACTCGATTTTTTGATTAAGACTCCGCATTTCTTGCTGGTTTTCCATCAATATCTCAAAACACTCGTGGTATTTATCCTGTAGATCAGCAATCTGCAAAAAATAGTGAATTTTAATAATTACAATAGCAAAAGAATTTTACTATTTCTGTGACCAAGTGATATAATGGTGATTATAATTATAATAATGAAGAGATTAAGAAAAATGATTATGATGGATATTAATTKTGTAATCATAATAAAATATCCTGATGATTGACAATGATTATGACAATTGACAGCTGTCAATAATGTCATTTAAACATCAATAAACAACTGTACCTGCACTTTTAGTTGATCTTGGCCAGCTTGTGACTCATTTAATAAATTCTGAAGTTCTTCATTGTCCATTGACAGCTAAAATGAATACAACAGTAATTTCAATATTTACATCAACCAAAATAACCCTAAAACTAATCCTTAATTACAAGCTAAATCCAGAACACAAATAATTATACAATAAAATAATCTTTTTTAAATATATTTGTAGTGCACTTGTAGTTTTTATCATAGTAACAGTCAAAAAGAACAACCAAAGATCTAAAATAATTAATCAGCTGTAGAAATGAAAAAGTTCCTTACTTGTGAATGACGCTTTTGTAGATCAACCACAGTRGTGATCAACTGAGAGATTTCTTCCTGAAATAAAACATAGAATTAGAAATCCTATAT